GCGGAGGGCCGGGGGCCCCAGCGCCGCCGAGCGCGGGGAACGCGCGCGGGCGGGGCGGCCGGTGAGCCCCGCACCTGAGCAGTCCCGGCGACCCGGGGGCCTCGGAGCCGCAGACTCGGGGCCGGGGGCGCGGCCCGGGGCGTGAGGCCTACGGGGAGGCGCCCGCTGGGGCCGGGGAGGGGCAGGGGGTGCGGCCATCCCCCTGCAGGTCGCTCCCCGTGACGCCATCTTGGATCGGTCCAGCGCCCCCAAACGGGCGGCGGGGCCGCGAAGCTCGGCGCGTCGGGGACCCCTGGTCGACCCCACTCACCTGGGCACGGGCGGCGGCGGACGCGGGACAGCGGGTGCGAGGCTGCGGCTGGCTGAGCTGTCCGGGCGCTTCCCTCCCAGCCCCGCTCTACTCTGCGGTAGCGGCTCGGCGGCGGCTCCACCGGAAACGACCCGGCTGCAACCAATCAGCGCCCGACTGCTGACGTCAATGCGCCTCGCTCTGGCCAGAGCCGTCGCCTTGGCAACCTTAAAGGCGCTGCGGCCCGGGTTCCTCTTTAGCCCCTCTTAGAAGGACCCTGGCCCCTCCACGCCCTAGAATCGTTCTTCCGCTCTCCTTTCTAATCTAACCTCGTCCCCCACTCGCAGCCCTTTCCTCCCACCCGCCTCTTATCCTTTCCCCACTCTCTCCAGCCCGACGCTCCCCTCCTTCCGTTCACCTGCCCCCCTTACCTGTTCCTGTCTGGATACCACAGGTCCCCTTTATTCTTCCTTCTGCTCTCCGCTCGTCGACGGCGCGGCTTGGGGGAGCTCCCCTCTCTGCTCGGCCCCTCGCCTCCACTCCTCACTCCGCCCCACTGTCACTCCCGCCTCCCTCGCCGCCTCTGCCTTTTCTCCCTCCCTCCAGCCCCCACCCCCAACCCGGGCGGACCCACGTGGGGCGTCTCGGATGACAGGTGGGCGACTCCGCCCCGCAGCCCCTTGCTGGGGGAGGACGCGGGGCCGGGGTGGGGAGATTCCTGCCGTTTCCAGGCCCCGGAGGAGGCGGCTGCCGCGGCGGATCCGCGGCAGCGGCGGATGCCCAGGATGAGCACGCCCGGCCGCGCATCCTGTGCCTGGCCTGCACCGCGCGGGCCTCCGGGCACGGGCCCGCCATCCGGTCCAGGAAATCCGAGCCCTGCCGAGCGTCCGCTTGGCTGATCGGGCCGCTCTCCCCTCCGGGGGTGCTGTCGTCAGTGGAGGCCTAGCCGGTCTGTGGGCCCGAGACACTGAAAAGGACTTGTCAGGGTGCATCTAGAACCTGAAACGCACACCCCTCCCTCCCCTCCATCATGACGCCTGACCCGGCACGGGGAGAAGTTACAAAGGGTGCAGATAGGCCAAAACCCTCTGTGACCACACGAGAAATCTCAACTGCCTGCAAAACCACCCATCAAGGATGATTCGGATTCGAGGGGGAGACAAGGCGGCTCCTTTACTGCTTCGGCCATTTTTTTCCCCCCATCAGAGCGTCTGTCGGTAGAAGGAAGAAAGGGGGAGCGGGAGACAGTTTTAGACATCTCAAGTCGCTACATGAATAAAGAAGGCCTTTGGAGGACACGTATCCTTGGGTCTGATACGTGTTGTAATCACACGGTATATATAGCCCTAGGGCTGTGGGTGCCAAACGCATACGTGGATTTAACACAAAGAAAATAGAAATATCTCATTAAGAATTTTTATATTGATTCCAGGTGGACATGGGTAATATTTTGGAGACCTCAGGTTAAATATTATTACAATTAAGTTCATCTTCGTGTTTTTACTTGTGAAACGTAGCTATTAGGAAAATTTTCCTGACATACGGCTTACATTACATTTCTGTTGGACAGCACTGCCCCGGGAGGCCATCTGCTCCCCTAAATCGGCCAGGTTATGATAAGGGTCCTGCTCGTCAGGATATTTCTGTTATTTAGTTATGGTTACTTTTGCTTTTGGAAAACCAGAGGCAGCACAGGCACCATCAGAAGGGCAGATTAGGCCCACAGGAGGGAAAAATAGAAGGAAAGTTTCTCCTTCCGCCCACTCCCTGGCTTGTTGACCGCCAGGGATGGGTGAAATGGGGGATTAAAGACAGAGCTTGAGTCGTATAGGATTTCACCCCTGTCGGTACAAAGAAGGGCTAATACACTGAACCCGAAGCTGGCAAGCAGAAGAGGGAATTCGATAGCATCAAGCAGGCCCAGTCATGTTATGAGAAGAAAACACGGCAGTCAGATGAATCTGAGTTTGGTTTCAGGCTCTGCCATCTCCGGTAATTGACTTAATCTCCATGAGCCTCGGTTTCCTAGATCATAAAAGGATAAGCAGGGCTGTGTTAAAATGAGCTAATAAAGCTAATAATGGCACACATGTTCCTGGCACGAAGAGCTTCACGCACAATAATTAACTTAATCCTCATAGTAACCCAGTGGTGTAGGTCTGGTTGCCAGTGTTACCAAAGGAAAATGAGGCAAAGCGTCCAGTGATGTGCCCAAGACCACACAGCTAGTGTGGCCCACACCCAGGCAGCGATCGAAAACCACTCACTCTCCTTTGCAGAATGTATACAAACAAAGTGCCCAGCACAGCATGGGATACAGTGAGTTAAGTGCCACTTGACTTCCTACCTCTTCCTCTTCCTGAAGAGCCACCCAAACTACAAGGTTAAGACTGGGTTGTAGGGGTACCTGGGTGGCTCAGTGGGTTGGATGTCCGACTTTGGCTCAGGTCACGATCTCACATTCGGTGGGTTCGAGCCCCGCGTCAAGCTCTGTGCTGACAGCTCAGAGCCTGGAGCCTGCTTTGGATTCCGTGTCTCCCTCTCTCTTTGCCCCGCCGCTCATACTCTGTCTCTGTCTCAAAAATAAACATTTTTTTTAAAAACCGAAAAAAAGACTGAGTTGTACCGTGTCCCACCATTACCGTTACCTTCCTAACAGAGTCAAGACACTTAGAACAGGGAGCCGAGCAAGCCAGTGCCATGGAGCTCAGCGCTTTGAGTGACAACTGCTTCTCTGCTAAGGGCTGGGTGTGTGTGTCCCCATTCAGCTACATTCAGGCGCCAGTCCAGCCGTGGACCATTTCCTGTGTCAGTGGTGCTCAACTTTGTTCTAGCTGCCAAATCCTCATATGCTGGGGCTTTAAAAGACAAAAAGGGAAGCGGGTAGGGGAGAGTTGAGCCCGGGGAGAGGTCACTGAGACAGCTGTTCTGAAAAACCAAACAGCATCCGCGGGTTCCAAATGGTGCAAACGCTCTTTCAGTGACTCCGCGCCGCTGTGAGAGTAACAACTTGTAAATTGCATTTCGGAAGTGACACTTGTTCCGCTGTAGTTTCTGTGTGGCTGTCCCTTCTCCAGAGGCCTTCTGCCCTTGATTCCAAGGTCTGCCAGCCTTGCCTTTGGCCCGTGTCCCTGAAAAACTCAAAATCAGTTTCTAGGGCAGTGAAGGTATAGGTAAATTTTTCTCTTTTTTTATTTTTATTTTTGTTTTTAATTTTTCTTCATCTTTATTTATTTTTGAGAGAGAGAGAGAGAGACATTGTGCGAGCAGGGGAGGAACAGAGAGAGAGGGAGACACAGAATCCGAAGCAAGGCTCCAGGCTCCGAGCCATCAGCCCAGAGCCTGACGCGGGGCTCAAACTCACGGACCGCGAGATTGTGACCTGGCTGAAGTCAGACGCTTAACCGACTGCGCCACCCAGGCACCCCTCCAAGAACTTTTCAGACTATCACCGCCCATTTGTAGGGCACAAGAGTGCTGAGTATTTATGCTTCCTGTGGAACCCAAGGTTGTGATTTCAAACATAACCCAAATCCAGCAAGCATTCAAATGCTAAAACCCTTCCTACTTTTCTCACCAGCAAATGCTTATCTAAACCGAGAAGGGGTGTTTATCTCGAGCGTTAATTGAAAATATTAACCACAAAACCAGAAATCCTGGGTCTAATCCTCAAGAGCTTTCCAAGTGAAAACTTCTTCATCAAAAAAGTGTCTTCCTCCAAAAGAGTATATTTCAACCCACAACGTTCAACAGGAGAGATAGAGAATTGTATCAGGTATAGAGAGAGATTTATGTTAAGGATTTGGCTCACGTAATTGTGGGGGACTGGCAAATCGAATGTGTCCAGGGTATGCCAGCAGGATAGAAACCTAGGCAAAGGTTGATGTTTCAGCCTTGAGCGGGAAGGCAGCCTGGAGGCTGAACTCCTTCCTCAGGGACCTCAATCTTTTCATGTAATGCCTTCAACTGAAGGTATTATAGAAGGTAATCTGATTTCCTCAAAGTCTGCTGATTTAAAGGTTAATCACATCTAAAAATGACCTCCTCCACAGAATCCAGACTTGCATGTGACCAAAAGCTGGGTACTGGGGACTAACCAAGTTACCATGCAAAATTAATCATCATAAGCATGAATCAAATCAAGCGCAGATATCTGTATGAATCTTTTCTAAATATTCCTCCTCTGGACATCAATCTCCTATGCCTGTGCTATTTTTTTTTTTAACTAATGCTAACTTTATATCAATAGGTCATGGACATGAGGCTTTCAAAAAATAGCAGTGATGGGGCGCCTGGGTGGCTCAGTCGGTTGAGCGTCCGACTTCAGCTCAGGTCATGATCTCACAGCTCATGAGTTCGAGCCCTGCCTCAGGCTCTGGGCTGACAGCTCAGAGCCTGGAGCCTGTTTCAGATTCTGTGTCTCCCTCTCTCTGCCCCTAACCCACTTGCATTCTGTCTCTCTCTCAAAAATAAACATTAAAAAAAAAAAATTAAAAAAAATAGCAGTGATGGGCACTTCATGGCTCAGGCAGTTGAACGTCCAATTCCTGGTTTCGGCTCAGGTCATGATCTCATGGCTCAAGAGATTGAGCCCTCTATGGGCTCTGTGCAGACAGTGTAGCCCCTGCTTGGGATTCTCTCTCTCCCTCTTTCTCTGCCTCTCTCTCACTTTCTCTCTCAAAATAAATAAATAAACTTAAAAACAAAAACAATACTGTAGTAGGCCTGTCACCCACAAAGACCTTTTGACTGTGTTAAGAAAAATCAGGAAACTTCTTTGACTCTGTCCAACTAACAAAGTCAACAAATCTTGTTAATGTATCCCTACTGGCATTTTACTGACCATGTATCTATACCTCTTCCAGGAAATCTTTTTTTTCTTAAGCTTACTTATTTATTTTGAGAGAGAGAGAGAGACAGAATCTCAAGCAGGCTCCTTGCTGTCAGCACAGACCCTGATGCAGGGCTTGAACCTACAAATTGTGAGATCAAGACCTGAGCCAAAATCAAGAGTTGGACATTCAACCAACTGAGCCACGTAGGCTCCCTGTGGAAATCCTAATTTTTTTAATTAAAAAAAAATTTTGTTTTTGGTCATGGCCCCTTTTGAGAAGCTTATGAAGACAATGGACTTTCTGCCCAGGAAAT